GGGCGGGGCTTAGCAAAGGGTCAATTAGTTGTTTAGTCTATAAAATGTCTCATCGTGATTTCCCAGAACCTGAAATGATGTCTTCAGATAGCTTCACTGTCTAAACAGTCCAATACCCAAAGACTCTTCAATTACTCACATCAACAATCATAAATGACGAAGAAAAGCAGCAAATTCTGACATTTAAGAGGCTGAAATCAGTGAACGTTGGGGAATTTTGCTTGAAAAATGCCTGAATGATTAATCAATCATCAAAATAGTTGGTGATTAATATTCTTTCGACTGACTAATTAATTAACCGGCTCATCATTGCAGCTCTAATTTGTTTATTTATTACTCAACCCATATTAAGCTCAATTTGTAAAGAAAACTGTTTTTCTCTCATCCACCGGTGAACAAAGAATCCAAGAATGGAGAAAATTATTTATGAAGCAAAGTAAATGGGTGTGTGTTTAACAACAGCAAAGCTATATCAAAACATCTGATTATAAACTCTCAGACAATTCGTGCAGTATAATTTAAGTCTCATTTATCCAGTTGTATGCTCAGTACTTCCCAAACAGGCAGTCCTTTCCGACGAGGAACTGAACTGAAAGTGAAATGTGTCTATGCTCTCTTCAAAGTCAGATTCCATGGACGAAAGCAGTAGTTTTACCTCACTGAACACAGGAGCTGCTGGTCTTCCGCTGCCTCAATCAGTTAGTTTGTTTGAGTTATTGTGTGACTCGGAAGTAAAACTTAAAAACACTGGAGTCACACATGAACACATTCATACTAACTGATCAAGGCAGCGGTAGACCAGCAGCTCCTGTGTTCTGCAAGGTAAAATTAGTGCTTTTGTCTGGCTCTGAAGAGAGCATGGACAAGTTTTACTTTAATTTCATTTCCCCATTGAAAAGGACTCTCTGTTGGGGAAGCACTGAGCATACGACTGGATAAATGAGACTTGGATTATAGTGCACGAGTTGTGTGAGAGCTCGTAAACAGATGTTTTGTTATAGTTTTGCTGTTGTTTAACACAGACTCTTTTACTTAAATTCATGAACAATTTTCTCCATTGTTTAGCTTCTTTGTTCACAAAAACAAAGTTTCCTTCACAATTTCAACAGAGCACAGGGTGAGTAATTAGTAAACAAATGGTCATTCTGAGGGTGAGCAGTTCCTTTAAATATTAAAGAGAAGACTTTGGTGTATTTAACAGACCACAGATTCTGATCTTCTCTGGCTTTATTTTCTGGCTTTATTATACCTTTGTATTCCTGAAAGGAGGATCTAAATATTCAAAAGGATTATATCATGTTCTGCACCTGAAGAAGATAAAAACAGGTTTACAGTGCGACTTCTTACAGGGATATAAAAGGCTTGCTCACTGAGCGCTCTGATACCAAGAAAAGACTGCAAAGTGCTAAAACCACACACATCAATTTGTTTCAACAGTTCACTCCGAGCATTTCCTTTCACGCTGCCCTTGCTTGACTATTTAAAATTATCTTTGCGTTACCATGAATAAAAACATAAGGGCATGATGTACTCCTTATTTAATTAGGGTGTTGCTTTGGGCATGTAAAACAATTAATTTCAATTCCAGTCAAAGTTAGCCTGAGGTGAATCTGTCCCTTCCTCATTCTCACTCTCTTTCAGGCGTGGCCAAAAAACACTGAGAGGAATAAGGAAGCTTTTATTTTGGCTCTAATTAAAATGGTGACTCAGTCCTGAATACCAAAAAAAAAAAAAAAGAGAGGAAGCACAATGCATCAAGCGCAGAGGAAAGTAAAGAAGTAAAGCATACGTTTAGAGTGGCTCTTTTTAGAGTAACTGTGAAATCTGAGCTGGGAGCTTCTGACTGCTCACACACACACACACAGCAGAGCAACTTTTCACACAATCCACTCTGAGAAAACCACAATGTTACGAACACGGTCAGAAAATACCCACATGTTCAAGAGGGTTTACAGTATTGTTGGTATTTCTAAACATGTATGAAGGCTGCGGGAACACAAGAGGCCAAAATCCTTAATCCACACGCCGCAGGGCAGAGATGGGGATTTCCTTCTCTTAATAAGAGTAGATCTTCTCAGCACCATGGGAAATACTCTGCCAAACTGACAGCAGTAAACAGAGCAGAGCTGTCGTCTGCTCGGCAGAGATGGACTGAAATTTACTGTCTGACACTGACTGATAGGAAGAGTTGAGAAAGAGAAAGTAGGTTAGAAGGAGGGAAGGATGGAGAAAAACCCTTGAGCGAGGGCAAACGTCCAACATGTGGACATGTGTAGAGAGCAGGTGGAGGGAGCGAAGGACGGCAGAGGTCCCAGAGTCCTACTTAAGTGATATATGGTTACTCTGCATGAATAATCTGTCTTTCAAAGTCAGAGGCTGTGGCCCAAAGCTGGTTTCAACATCCAGGGTCTACTTGGCAAAGTAGTTTTCTTCAGTGAGAGCGCTTTTTACAAGAAAATGTGACAATGACTATTGAAGTCATGTTTCTCTGGGCTGCACATGAGCAAACGTTCACAGGTGTTGTTAGAACACATTCACGTTAGGGGTGGGCATTATACCAGTTTAATCATCATCACAGGTGTCACGTTTTGCCACGACATGGATTTTGCAAAACTATCAACCGTGAAAAATCCACTTTTCCACCAAAATTGCGGTGAAAAGCAGTCTTTTTAAACACTGGAAAACCTGCTAAAAATAGGCCATAGACTCCTTTTCCATTGCCAGTGCACTAGAGTCGAGTGCATCGCTCTGCAGTAGATGATGTGCCTTTCTGTTTTGTTGCTGGTGTGTCACGTTTGACGTCACTGACAGGCCAGACAACAAAATAAGTAAACAGCAGAAAGCACCATATAAGCCAGTAAACCTGACACAGTGGTTACTTCTTTTTTTTTATACCAGTTACTTACGTGTTCAGCCTCTCTTTCAAACTCGTTGCAGACTAATTTTAAATAATGCTTGACTGCTGCTTGGACTGGGGCAGACAATACTGTGTGGTCGTGCATTTTTGGATCAAGGGCTGAAAATTACCGTATTTATCCGAGTGTTGTTTTACATCACTGGCGATTGGAGCAGATCAGAGCTGATAAATACTTGGTTTTATTGTCCAGTGGGAAAGGGGCTCAACATACACGCGATTGGGTGCGACGTAGTTCATCAGGTATGCGGCAAGTAGATCTCCCTCATCTGTGTCCTAAAACACACCAGTTTTACTGTCCAGCACCATTTAAAGAGAGAGTTGCAACACTCCTTGATCCTTGGCCACCACGCAGTGCATGGTTCATGTAGCTCTCTATAGTTAACAGTATAGTTAATACGATATGAAAAGTTCATATTGTGATACACGTCAACAACAAGCATAGGTTTAAGTGAAATTATTACAGACTCCGCAGTGGTTCCAAAAAGAGGAGCAGCTTCAGTAGTGTGGAATAAACTGTGGCGTCCTGAATGTTTTATGAACAGCCCCGGACTTCTCAGACTCTTTTAGTGACTTACCGCTCAGAGGGAACTCATTCAGCGGCTCCTCTGGCAGCAGCACAGCGTCTCTCCCTCTCCTCTCTCACCATGCGCACACAGGAGTCGGTGTCGTCAAGTGATTTTGTCATAAACCTTTGGTAATGTAAACCTACGTGATGCTCGTGGCACAACCAAAAACTCCATATATGTGAAAGTGCGATAGTTGTGGTATCTTAACAGCCTGTCACAGGTTACAGCGTGATGATTAGAGGAGAAATGGCAGAGCATAAAGGTCCAGGTGGAAAAAAAATAACCATTTAGGATTTTGCTCAAAGAAGAAAATCACCTGTTGATTTATATACATAGATCCCAGGGGATATTTTTTGTATTTGGGAGCTGTTTAAATGTGCAATTTGTGGTAGATTTTATTTTGTTGAACTATTAATATTGTATACAGAATCTGAATCTCACTCTGAGTTACTGCTGTTGTTCACAAACTAAAGAAATGAGAGATTATTTTAGTTTTTACTGAGCATTTGAAGGCAAACTGTGAAACTATATCACTTATTTTGTTGCAATTCTGTTTTCTTAAATTAATAATAAAATATGTTTTTAATAATTAGGGCCATATCGTCCACCCCTACTGGGCAATGATCACTACATTTACTATACTTATATATAACGTCATTTTACGTGGGGTGATGGAGAGACAGCAATGACCCATTTTCTGTTTCTTTTTGGGGGGATGGAGAACTGTTACCATAGCATAAAATACATTTACAGTATGTAGGCCTTATGCATTAATATTTTTATCATGCTGCTATGACCATAATTACTCACACCATGTAGTGGAAAGTAACTCAGTACATTTACTCAAGTACTGTGGCTTTCTAAAGTGCAGATTCAAGGTGTTTGCATATTATGCAACTTAATACTTGTACTCCACTACATCTCAGAGTCAAATCTTGTACTTTCTACTCCACCACATTTATCTGATAACTTCAGACTCTGAGCTTGTGGTTTTTCACCTCCTTTCCTGTGCAGAGAGAACCCTCTATCTCCAGATGTGACGACTTTGGATGTTTCTGATCAACTAAACCTATTTTCATTCCTATTCGGAGCCAATAAACACATCTGGAATTTTTATATATTTGTTTCCTTTCTTAGGAGTATCCAGTTTAATTTTGTAATACGATGATGAAATATTGTCACTGCAAAAACAGAAATGTGCATGTGTGTATTATACTTGTACTGATGGGGGTTATTATAAATGAATTGTTATGGTGCGACAGAGATGCCCCGGCCTACAAATGATATTCCAGACGGAAGAAAGCATACTTGTTTGGTGCAGACCCCAGGAAAAACACATCATCGTCATTTTTATATATTTTTTCAGTGGAAAATAAAATGCAAAAAGTACCATTCAGACTTTTTTTTTGCATATCATCATGCAGCCCTACTTCAGAAAGGCTCTTAGTAGAGACAAAGTCAAAAGACAACAGATTGTGAAACTACTGAAATGCTAATTGAAGTGTAGTAGCTGTTACCATTCTGTGTGAGCTTGGTGGAGCAGACCAGGGTGGAGATCTGGAAGGAGTCCTTGCTGATGGTACAGTTGCCCAGGTTCTGGGTGTTTTTCCCGGTGGTGGTGTAGCCCTTCTCCTCCAGCTCCAGCTTTGTGGCGGGAAGGTTCAGGTACAGAGAAGAGTCCTCCAGCTTCTTTGCTTCTGCCTGGTTTTCCACAAATAGGAAATTAGAATTTACAATTTAGAGCTGAGGTCTTCTTAGGCAGCTTATTTTGCAGAATAACAGAAATCCATGTGTGCTGTTCATTTTGTAATGAAATGGTAAGTTTTCCTGCCAGTTGTTGCATGTGTAACTCTTTGACAGACATTTGACAGTAACCAAACCGGGCAAATGTTCCCACATTAACTTTTTAATTAACATAAATGGGCAGAGTAACGCAAGGGTATCATTATACAGGGGATTTTAATTGGAAAGTAATTTCATTTCACTGAGTGGGTTGATGCCTAGCTACCATACAATTCTCCATACAAGGCAGTGAAACTATTATAACAGTAGCTACTAATAAGCCAGTTTTTCACCTTGAACTCATCCCAGCTGTGGTCACGTGGGGCGGCCTGGCAGGTAGGCAGCTCCTAACAAACATTCCAGAACACCACACACTGACTTCTAACTGTGTTATGGCCTATATCACATTTACCTTGTACACGATGAGATCATGCTCGCCGTCCCTCAGGGTCGTCCCATCATACCTCATCAACTTCACGAAAGACAAGGCGAATATCTTCTCTGACTTGTCTTTGGCTGCAGGAGGACGAAAAAAGAAACACATGACAACATGACATTGTTGTTTATATTTGAGAGTGACTGCGTGTTCATACTTTATTTTTCTATTGATATACAAAAGCCTACTCATGCTTGTTGTGTATATTTGCAAAGTAATACACAAATAATACACAGTACGTGTTTAAATGTAACGTGTGCATCTTCAGGAAATCAAAGACAACACCAGAGCTGGCTCCATTGTAATAAACCAGGCTACAAGGCTGGCTTTACAACAAGTCATTAACAAACTAACAGACAAACCAGATAATCCCAAATGTAAATCTCGGCACTACAGGCCCTGAGTCATCTCCCGAGTTGGCACAAGAATTTACTGCTCCCCTCTGATGTCAGTGTTGATGCTGTGACTGTATCTGTGCATGAGCAGTTTATTTATTTTCTACTTTATTAAGAGTAATTATGCATGACTGTTAATGAATTGTGCAAGGCAAACAGCAAGTGGGAGGTTCAGTGACAAAAACATTTAATCACAAGCTGATATATCCACCATGTGAATATTAATTTGTTAAATGTGTGTGTTTTTAAAAATCTAGTGGTGAGGTTGCAGAACTGAAACCTCTCCTGTGTATCAAGCGTGAAGGAGAACTACGGTGGCCAATACAGAAACACAAATGGCCTTATCTGGAGACAGTGTTTGATTTGTCCATTCTGGGCTACTGTAGAACAACATGGTGGACCAGCTCCGCATAGATAGAAATGGCTCATTTTAAGGTAACAAACACACAACGATTCCCAATAAATAGTTAATAACATTTTATTACTCACTTTTATTACTGAATGTTTGGATTAAGCTATCATGCGTGCCCACTTCCTGTTAGTATATGAATAAACACTTGCACTTGATCTCAGGGCTGCAGCTGTGAACAGTTTGTGTACTCCTGCTATGCTGGAGAAAAGATGCTCATTGCTTGTGTGTATGTGCACACACAAGCATGTGTGACTGTATGGAGTTGCTGAGGGGAAGCGCTGCATAAACAAGCGGGAGAGTTATGACTTTGTCCTGTAACCAAGCAGTTTGGATAGGGCCACATATATCATCATTGTGGATCAACAAGCTCAAATTTACGTGCAGGGGAGACGTGATTCATTGAAGTATCTTGTGCATTCTATCTGCATAAATCCCCTCATTGGTTTGCTGCCTGCAGCCTCGCCGGTGAATAATTGCTGGGCAGGCTTGAGAGGAACCAGTGGAGGAAAAACACTGTACGCATGCCACCCAGTTGAGAAAAAATGTTTAAGTGACTTCCTCGGGAGAGCAGCAACTCTGCATTTGGGGAAAAAAGGTCACTTTCAGGACGCAGTTACTTTTTTTCAGCCAATCAAAGTTGTGTGGAAGTTCTGCAGACTTCCACCTCTAAGGTGGGCTGTCACTTCAGATTTATGTTGAGTGTACTATGCCACATTTTAAAGTCTACCCTCTACCCCACTCACCAGGTAGTGGCATAATGACAGATGAAACAGAAGTGAAAAGATGGCGGGGATCTCTTACAGCCGTGGCGGCATCCGTGATAGCAGCCATCAGTCTGATGAGGCCTGACAATGTTAGAGTGCTAGTCTGATGCACTGTGTTAAGAGCTGACCTGATTCTGAACCAGGGGGCTGAGATACTGAGCAAATGAGCTCCAGTAGTGGCCTTGATGAGCAGCTCTGTCACTCTGTGTTTCCACTAAAAGTTCAGTACTAGCTAGGAGCAGTGGAGGAAGCAGGAAGGACACAAGCACATGATGGCACAGGCGGACAACTGAAAGGACTTCATCTGACAGACCATCTCTGTTCTGCTTTTCTTCCAAAACTCCACAAGTAGAGAGAATGATGTTTCCTTACTACAAACAAGCAGGCTTTGCCAATAGAATTACACTTTAAAGGAGCAGTGTGTAAGATTTAGGGGAATTTCATGGCATGTAGGAGTGAGGATTGCAGATTGTAACCAGCTGACACTTCTCCTGGTTAAGATTCCTTCAGTGTTCATTGCTCAGGTTTTTACCAGGAGCCAGATTATCAGCAGAGGTCTCCTCCTCTCCAAGGCAAACAGACACAGTGATTTAAACTGGTAATAACACTAAATAAAGTAGTTTTAAATTACATGTTAGCATTTCTCTGATGCTATTCAGCATGGCAGAGACAGGCCACTAGCCCAGCACCTGCTTATGTATGCTCATCTATTTGCTCTGATAACTACAGATCAAGACGTTCAGGACGTTTTTCTCATTGCGAAGGGGCTGCTAACTACGGTGGCCGACACAAAAACACCAATTGCCGTATCTACAGTCAGTGTTTGGCTTCCATTCTGAGCTACTATCGAAACATGGCGATGCAACATGCCAGACTCCACGGACAAGAACCAGCTCCTTATGCGCACAACAATACCTACTTTTAGGTAATTACACACTAAAGTAAACATAATCAGTTATTATATTCCATATTTGCCAACATATCCCTGTAAATCCTACACTCTGGAACTTTAAGCTACTGTAAGGTACCGGTAAGTGACGTGATCACATTTGATTTTCTGATTACTTTTAACACTCTTCATGACCTCTCTCACAGCTATACCTCTGAACTTTAAGTACTGTACGCACCAACACGTACTTTGAGATCCTCGGGTATAGGGCTTTTGTCCATGCCAGAGACCGGGCTGAAAACTAAAGGTGACACAGCATTTGCAGTCAGGGCCCCGAGGATCTAGAACGATCTGCCCGAGGTAAGCAGGCCAGCTGAGTCAGCGATTACTTTTATCGGAGAGCTTTTTCCTGATTTTATTTGAGCTTTAATTTCCGTTCAACTGTGTTTTATTTCCCCAGATTTTATACACCACATTGTTTTTTTATCTGTTTTATTTTAAAACCTGTTGATTTTATCATTGCCTATTTTATGTTGCTGCCTTGTAAAGCACTTCGTAACACCATTTATGAAAGGTGCTCTATAAAGATTTTTATTCCTATATGTATTATTGCTGTGATATTCTGCCTTACAAAGATTAATATCACAAAGTAACTGATTACAGAATAGGTAATGAGTGTGTTCAAAGGCACACTAGTACCCTTGGTATGGTCAGGATTTGGAGTGTCCCTGTGATCAAAAGCAAAATCCAGCAGAGTGGCAAATGCAACAGATTCTACAGCATTTGCAGGCAGACAAAAATCCAAAAGGATAACTCAGTCACAACAGAAGTGACAGAAAATGGCTTGACGCCTGCACAGATGAAGACAATCACAAACTTGGATACAGTTAGATTCATGTGTACAAGAATATGAATGACCAGGTGTCTCTTTGAAGGGGTACAAGTGTAAACACACTCACTGGCAGGGAAATACACCACACACAAACCCATATAATCCAGCCAATACCCCCTTTTCAACACATCTCCCTATTGTCAATTGTCAGTGACAAGTTAAAGTTTGGCAGCATCAGCATGCCCCTCCAGTCCCAGAGTCACTTGAGGTGAGCCAGTTTCTAAAGCAACCATTGCAGCAAGATAACGGCAAGCCACAGAGTTTCAAAGGCATGCCTCGTAACAGCATTAGTCCCCGCAGAAGCACAGTCCCAAGCATGACAAGAAGGCTCTCCAAGTGGATTATAAGCCAGCACTGAGCTTTGAGTCCTGGCCGTTTCCTCCAAACCACCTGCCTGCAGGTGAGAAGCAAACAGAGCTGAAGGTTTTAGGGACTAGAGGCTGACAGCAGCTGCAGACTGCTTTGCAAGGGAAAAGGTATACTTTCCCATGCTGATATCCTCCCAATTCTTGTCTTCTGTGCCATATGAATTGATCGTTCAATACATATACACCTGTCATGGCTCCCATTACCCCACCAAAATCATTTTCCCAGCACCACTCCTGCTGCTGGAGGGATGGCCTCGCCATGTGGCAGGCAGATGGGATGGCACTGCTGCCAGTACCAGGCTTCCCTGCCCTCTACACCCCCAAAATTAGAAAGGATGTTAAAAAACAGAAGGACATACACCACTGGCTGCATTCAGCTACACGCTGGTCCCAATGAACAAACGAGTCCCCTCAGGCATTTTTCACATCCCAGCTGTAGTGTCTGACACTTCATGATGCTGCTTTGTGCAGGGGCAGCCTAATACCTCTGATTAATGTGACAAAGGGTGGGCTTCAAAGTATTTATCACTGTGCAACACATCTGCTTGGATTGGATATCTTCCATTACATTTTGCTGCAGATAGATTAGTGGCCAATTGTGCAGCTGGTCATCAGCAAAACTGATTATTCACACGCTGACATTTGTACTCACAGTCCTGCGATGAGCGATGGCGAAAGGTGAAACGCAAGTGGCTCCGGTTCACGTCTTCAATAGGGATGGCAACCTGAGACAGAAAGGGACCGTGTGAGAAATGGTACCAATGCACACATACTAAAAAACACAGTTATGAAAACACCATGAGCAGAATAAGCCCCAAATGCTAGATTTTTTACACTGTATAGAAATTAATTTAAACAGGTAGCATGTCACAGGGCATTTCTGCTGCCACCACATTAAATCTACCGCATGGTTTAATATTCACCACCGTCTTTCTAAGCTTCAAAGACAAATATCCACCAGACACCACAGTCTTCATGCTACAGACTACCTGTGTTGTGATGAATAATGATTTTGGGGATTATATCAAAGGGTGGTTTGCAGTCAGGGTGGAAAATAATGACTAAAATATTATTCGGGGCAACAAAGAAGAAACAGTACATAAGGAGAGAGCTGCACCTTTATTGTTTCAAACCAGCGTGGCTGCTTCACTTGGTAGTAGATGACAGACTTGTACTCATTGATCCCGTCATCTCCAGCTCCAGGGAAGATCACATTCTAGATACAAGGAAAGAAAACACACAGATCAAACCACATGACTGGTTATTTAGTTAAACTGGCAGAAGCTGTAAGTTCATTCAAAACGGCAAAATCCTGATGGTTGAGCCATTATTGCTCTGTCAAAACATTAGCACACTCGCGGCATGTGGAAAATTGACTACCACTTATTTCATAAAATGTAGTCCCTGGGGCAGAAAGCAGAATGGCCTTTAAAAGTCTGGATGCACTTTATGCATGCACACCTGCCTGTTGGCTGCCAATCTCATGACAGCATTGTGGAAATAAGAAATAAATTAGAAATTAATTATTTAAGAAGGAGGGGCAGTGGCTCCCATGCAGGGAGAAATGGAGGGAAGCCAGGCACAGGGAAGAAGACCAGCTGGTGCTGATGGATCCAGCCATGTAAACTGGTCTTCTTGGTGGGTCCCCTGAGTTTCAACAACAGGTCAGGGTGCGTATGTAAAATACTAGGTGCCCCCTAGGGGATTTGGCACGAGGGCTGGAGTGACAGCGGATGGCACGCATGCCTTGTTTTCTATCAATCTGGGCTCAGCCAGCCTTCCCCTTTCCTCCCACTACTCCAGCTGACTCTCTGAGCTGGTGCTGCTAAAATACTCCGACACTAATGGCTTCTGACAACCAGCAATTATGAGGAATAACAGGCCCCGTCTCCCCCAGCCATGCTGAGCAGATCTGGGGGGCAGGTGCCAGCTCTAGCAACTCTTCCCTTTCCACTAAAAGTCCAGGATTCATGACAGCCTCAGATTTTCGGAGGGACGGGGGGGGAGGGGGGAGGGGTGGCTGAAGTCTAGCCGTAGGTGAGGGGGGCTTTGTAGGGAGTGTTCCAATATGTCAAGGTGAAAAGAAGTCACAGTCCAGCCTCTTTCTACACAACATCACAAATCCTTCTTCAGACAGGAGATGGATGACAAAATCCAGAGGCAGGAGGAGACCAGAGAGACAGGAAGAGAAAGGACAGAGAATAATGGTGGAGAGAAGACGGCTGAGACAGAGGCAGAAACATCCAGAGAGAAAGCCACAAACATTAAAACTTGCAAAGTAAACCTATTATAAAACTTTTAACTCCATTTTGCTATTTTCGACTGCCTCATGAATGGAGGCTTCTTTATTTTATTGCATAAATGGATGATAAAAATAAAACTTTTTTTTTTCCTTTTGAGTATAGAAGTTGTTGTGACCTCATCTAAGGTTAGGGTGAATTAGAGAGAAAGTTTCTATTATCAAAGATCATACTGAAACAGCATTAGACATTAAAGTGACAGCGTCTTTCTCTCATCTCAGAGACAGAATTTCCTTCCTGCCAATTACAATCCAGGAAGGAAGAGGGGGAATTTAACCAATTAGCACTGATCCCTGGAGAAATGAACAGATGAGACTGAGCACCTCGGTGAGAAGCTGCAAGACAAGATGTTGAAGGGAGCCCCCGCGCTTCAAGGACAACATGACCATGACACCCATAGATGTGGTCAGTATCACTTGATCACTATCGACGGCTGTCACTGACTCCAATCATTACAGCCAAAAGGCTCTGACAGCCTTGGAAAAGTTAAATGTTTCATTGACACTAGCCCCGTTTACAAAGCAGGAATGTCCCTCCACCTCACTAGTCTGTATGAACGGTACGAACACAAAATGGAGGGCAGAGTTGTCTGGCCTTTAAGTTGGCAGCAGAGGAATTAACGGAGCCAAATCGACGTCTGGGTAAAAAGTGTGAGCCGGCAGGATGGGAAGGGTGTGATGTTTTGAGGGCGTGTTATGTGTCAGCCCACCGTAGGGAAATTGAAAAGGCAGCTAGAAGCAGTTAGCAGCTAACTATGAGAAAAAGAACAGCAACCCACAAACTGGGGAGACAATGAGGTCTGGGAGCTCCTTACTTTTCGAGCAGAGGAACAGATTAACCGCCATGTAACAGGGATGGTAAATGACGGTTATTGCCATGTTATAACACCGTTATTGTTTAGAGGCACTGCCCGACGCACATGTTACATTCCACACTTGACGCCAATGCTGTTGTGTAATGGTGGAGATACACAAAATCTGGCAAAAAAGAACAAGAAGGCATGCAAGAATCCTAAACGGTCCAGCACACCTCCGCCGATGAGGTGCTTGGTTTTAGCTCGACAGTATCCAACATGGCAGCCAGGTCACAAAATTGTTTCTTTACACTAAAATGTAAAACTCCATATTAATATACTGCAGCTACACTAAAATGTGTTTCTTAAAAAAACTGAGGCAAGAAATAGGCAATGCAGTAACAGCATCTACCTTGTTTGACAATTTGAATCTGAGTTTGCATAAAGTTGACGCAACGTTGAAGCAAATTCAGATACGGCAAATGGTCAGTCAACTTGCCATGCTACATTCATCAAGCAACTCCAGCTGGATCTCCTGCTCTCCACAGAAAATGAAGAGGATTTGTCGACCTTACCTATTACCTACCTATTCCTTTTGGGATATGTTTTTTTTTCAGTGCCAAAGCTCAGGTATCACACCGGCATCACACTGAGAAAGCAAGTAAAACCTTTTTGCTGTGCAGTAGGTACAACAAGCTCTTCACACACAACTTGTCTACTATAATAAACACAGTATAGCTGCTTGTAGACACTTAAAATGGACTATAAGACATGGTGGTTTCATTCAGAGTCTACAATATAAATACATTTGCAAACAAGACAGTATATAAATAGTAAACAAATGACAAACATTGAGAAGCATTATCTACTGTTTTTAGCTCATCTTTAAAAACAAGACAGCAATCAGACAACTGAGCACTATCCATGTTGTCAGATACTGTACCATCTGACAGAAGCCAAGACCATCACTGCTTTCTTCCTACTTCAGAACTGCCTTTACAGTATAATCACCACTGATCCTTACACTTCAGCTGCCTGCTGGGCCAAATCACTGACGAAGCCTCTCCATCTAAGACAAATGTGTATAATTGAGGCAGCTAAGGGTAATAGCGCTTTCCTCTAATTGGCTGTTTGCAGGAGGTCTCCCCATGACCACGGATGTGTCATTTCAAATCACTCCTCCATCATCAGTCCTTGTAACTTCCACTCTCACTTCAAGTGCATAGAGTGTGGACTTAATAGCATTAATACCTGTGCAATGTTATAGAATTTAATCAAGAGCCTTACAAGAAATTATCAGGTATACCTGAACTTGCAGGCCAATGAAACTAATGCATGATCACTACAATCTGTGGCCCCATAAAGCACGATAGATAGATACAGACACGTGAGCACACACTCCCACAGACATGCACCTCCTGCTCCACTTCCTCCTACATACTTTCATGGCCAACTACTCTAAACCTCTCATATCCCCCATTGACTGATGGTCTCTGCAGAACAAGAGGTAGAGTCAAGCAGGGGGTGACAATAATTAAACATCAGAGAAAGGGGTCAAAAAGCTTTATTCGGACTTTAGACGCTGATGGGTTGGCACATGATTAAAAAGTAGACAGCACTCAGGAGCGCAAGTCCATGAAACATGCTCCAACTTGCAAACTGGTAGCAACCATAATGATTTATGCTCAGTTGTTGGTGTCTACCTGTTTTGATTTTCTAGAGAATGTCAATGCAATTAATGGTGTTAGGCTATAAACCTAGATGTCAAACTTTCCTATCAATGCCTATAGTATAACTGAAATTAAAAGAATTAATCGCTGACCTCCACCAAAATATAATTAAACGACCTCTGCGTCGAGGGCTGCAAATTTCATCGAAATAAATATGCAACAATTTGAGACAGCTCACTAATAAACAAATAGACAGGGAAGAAAATTCTCCTCCTAACTTCATTAGCAAAAGTAATTATACAAGAAGGGAAATGCTGCTTTCACATCTCTCATCACTTTAAAGTTTTAAACTGTGCTGCTTGTACTGCCTGTCCACACACTTGCGTCTGTACTCTTGACAATGACAAAGGTTGATTCCCGCAGTGGTGAGCCAAATTTTAGGCTAGTCAATCAACCACAAAGCACCAATATTGCATTCTGTCATTTTTTGACGGGTGGCAAAGGCGCACAGTCTGGCCTGTGTATCACACTGCTTTATAGGAGTCCTGGTCAGTTAAGCAGCGTGCTGAGCTGTGTGAGATTAAAGAAAGCCCGGTAAATCACAGACTGTCTGGGAGACCGATTGGCTATAGCACTTGTGTCCTGAATGCTGAGAATGAGCAGGACCTGGGAGAAATACCAAATAAGTAAGTTAACATTCCTCAGCCGTACCTCCAGTTTCTTGCCGTCCTCGTCATAAACAGACATGGTCACTTCGACGTTTTTCGGAGTGGTCTTGCTCCCCTTGTCAAAATCCCCCAGGACCAAAGTCACATAGATGTCATTTCGCACGTCACCTTTGGGAAACAGAAACAAGTGGGTCAGATGGGGAGAATTCCTAACTTTTAAAGGACTACTTCATCTGCAAAATGACCATCTGTGTTTCAATTACTCACTGGGTTTCCTTGAATCCGTAAAGAAAACTTTGTGCTTAACAAAAGCAAAACTATACTAAAACACCTGTTTACAAACTCTCACACTTCTTGAGCCGCATAATCCAAGTCTCATTTATCCAGTCTAATGCTCAGTACTTCCCAAACAGTGCATTTTCTCTAAAAACTTACTATTTACAGGGTTTCCACAGATTTTATCAATGAAATTTAAAACCTTTCAATGAATTTTCCATCATATTTTGCCACATTTCCATGACTTTGTTTGTGTAATTTAACTTAGCAATACATTATTGAAAATGCACTGCTGAGGCATTTTGTTCAACTTTACTGGCTCATTAGACATTCCAGATGCCAACTAGCTACAGACGCCTGTGATGTGATGTGATGTGATGTGATCCTAGCGACGTTTTCAGCTATCATGGAACGCAACACTACATTGTAAATTAGGAACTCAATGCTAGGCATGTTTTTTTAAGGGCATATTTTAAACAAAAGCCAAAACAATAATTCAAAACGTTTCCAAAACATTGTGTTGATTCCAAACAATTTCCAGGTCTAATTTCACAACTTTTCCAGGAATTCCATGACCGCAGGAACCCTGTGTCGAAAACATGTCAGTAAAGACACAAGCATCGCAAAGTAGTGTAAAGTAGTCGCGTGTTTTATATTGTAACGTTTTTAGTGAAAACGCTAAATAAATAAGACTTGGATTACACCGCACGAATTGTGTTTCTCTATAAGTAGTTAGACGTGGCCCCAAGTGACATCATTTCATAAAGAATGTTTCCCTTTTTTGGATTCTTCGTTAACTGTGGAGCAGTGTTGCAGTGGTAGTCGATGTGGTGGGCGTACTACTAGTTAGATGGGTAGGTTACTGAGGAGGAAGTGGGTATACGGTCCTATATATTCCAATGGCTTTTTAGCTGCGAACAGCCAGAAAAACTTGTGGGTATACCTGAGTATACCCCCCACTACACCGCTGCTGTGGAGGCATGCGAGAAAAACAAAGCTAGATGGATTCATCATAACACAGGGTGAGTAACTGATATACAAATGGTCATTATGAGGCTGAAGTATTCTTTCAATGGTCTTTGTGGAGCTCAAGGTTCGATATATATGAATATTACTGCACATCTCATTACATCTTAGCTGGCTTAAGTGGATATTTGGCACCCTATACTTCATGGGTGAATTCAGTCCATTAAATAACTAATGTCTCCATCTAACCTTAATGAAGTATGCTATGTTCTTTTCTCCCTCACCCACACTTTGTAAAAGAGTAGCTCTTGATTCTAAATCACTTTCTGAATGAATGATGTGTCCAGCCGATCAAATTTAAAAAGGAGACTTGCAGGGACAAGCAGTTGAGGTGAAGCTTTTTTTAAAAACTCAACCTGGCATGATGATCTCAGGGAAGCCCATCTTGCGAGCCACAGCTGTTGATCGGTCCACCAGGTGAGGGAAGTCCTTCCTTATCTGATGGATGTCTCCAGGAAGCAGCTTCAGAGTCACCCACAGGCCTGGTGATGAATTCAAGGCAAGGAGGGGAGGGACCGAGATGACGTCAAGAGAAGACAGTGTGAGAGCAAACTGCCCCAGGAAAATACTAAAAAGAGATTTCTTCTTGTGCTTTCCGCTGTCAGTTGTCAGAGTGACATCTAACAGCTCAAGGGCAAGACACTAAATAGATGCTGCCCTCGGGGATATGATCAGGAAAGCATAATAACAGAGGAAACAAGTGTGTGTTTTCCCTGTGCTCGTTTAAAAGTGCAGTATAGTGTGCAGGGTGTGTGTACCTACAAATATCTGGTGACATTGATTACCTTTGGTATTGTAACACAAAAAAAAAAAAATCACAGAAGATATTATTCAAGTCTGCTGAGTCCAGATGGTTGATGCCAGTTTAACGTCTACCTACCATACTACCTGTATATATAAGCACATTGTATTCCCTTTGTGGAGGGATGATGTCTTCTTAATCTTTCTAAATGTAACATAAGATAAACAGCACCAATACTGGGGGGGAATAAAAAAGGTAAATGTTTCTCCTTAACAAACAAACAGACACTAACCTACATGAGAAAATTTGAAAGAAAAAAAATATAATTTTCTTTTCCACTGCAAAATTCATGATAATGTCCCCAACGCCCCAGACTTCTTCTTTAGGCACTTTTTATTTTAATAAGAGAATAAGTGACATTTATGGTAGAATATTTAAATTGTGCAGTAATTCCCAGACTTATATAATTGGTCTTGGAAAGACCTGAGAGTGTGAAGCTTGAGAGAAAACGCTGAATAATTCTGAAACAAAAGGCCTTAAGGGGACTTTCATGGGTCATATTTCCTAACAATTTAACACCAGTGGCTGCACTGCAGCCAGCTGCTGCTTCTTTTCTGCAGACACTGCATAGTGTGCCAGCTTCGGCTCTGTAACCACACTCGCTTTTAATATTCTCTCAGGAAAAACAAAGCAGCATCGACACATACCTCTGAACAAGACTGAAAATGACAAAAAGAGGGATCCAATTAAAGCAGTCATCCTGTAGTGCGCCCCTTCACAGGCCACCAAAGTGAGTGGTGGCTGTGAACCCTGAGGCTTTATTCACTTTGACGTTACAGGCCCCATATTGTTATGAGTGACACATCTCTCACTAGCCAAGCTGGAAGCCTTTTGATATGCGAGCGTGACCGAAACAGCTGCTCTCAGTGCTCCGCTGTTCTTCCCAGTGTGGGCCGGAGCAGACCTGACATTTATCCAAGTACATCTTCATAGGGCATGACAATACCATGGAGGCTGTCATATTGTCCCCCACCCTCCCAGCACAAATCCCTTAGATTGCTAATGTTATTCTTCTAACCACAGACGTGTCAAATCACTGATAAGATCCAGTCTTTGTAGAAGACTCGCCAGCTTAATTAACAGCTGGATTACTTACATCCTGTAGTCATGGTGATGAGGGCAACTATTTATAGTATGAGCTGTGATTTATAGTGCATGCACTTGACAAAGAATTCTGTTCTTATTAGCAAGATGAACAGTTTCAACCCCCTGCCAGTGAATTGGGGGTAATGGTACTTTGTATGAACAGATCAGAAATGTAGTATGAAAGAAGGTACAGCAAGATGCTGTTAAGGTTAAACTTGGCATGTTTTTAATATGTTTGATATTACCCTCTAACCTCCAAGGGGAACTATGCCAATTTTCACAATTCATACATGTTATTCCTAGTCTAAGACAGTAATAAAAATATTAGAAAACAAGATCAACTGTCTCCCAAATCCAAACACTAGAGTGCTAAAACACAAATTTGCAATGTCATCAAGTATAAAGTCTGGAACTGCTCCATAAACAATGAACTGGGCAAAATGTGAAGATGAACAGCACCAACGGGAGTGTTCCGAGTATACAGATACATTTTCTGTTTCAGAACTGACAACAATACAATAAAATAAAGCTCATTTAGGTATAAAAAAAACTGTGGGTTCACAAAATCAGGCTCCAATTCATTGTCTATGGAGCAGCTCCAGACTTTATACTTGATGACATCATAAGTTTGAGACTTACTACTCTGGTTTCTGGCTTAGAGAGAGAGTAGCTCATGCTCACAAATTCTGATAGAACTTTTCTAGGCAATGGAAATAACATATAGGAATCTAATTTAGGTGGTGTTCCCCTTTAATTACAAGTAAGCTGCCTTTAACTATCAAGCAGTACTGAATATCTGGTGACCTGGTTGACTAAAACCTTGTTTCAACCAAGCGGCCTGGCTGTCAAAAGTTGTGGATGGTACCAACAGAACAGTTCCATCCTGTGCTGTTTATCTGACACCCCTCTAGTGAGGTGCATGGCACACTGATTAGATACTAAAAGGTGGAGCTTCAAAAACTGCAGTCCATTGATTGGTCAGGAGAGAATCAGAACTCTTATCTACAAGGACGCAATGCACAAACCCTTTATTTTTAAATATCCCTTTGATTGCGACAGAGACTGTAAACACTCCAGCCTCTTCTTTTTTGTTTAGAAAATGTCAGGGTGCAGCCCTGTGCATAGACAATCAGTGAGGTGAGGATGTTTCTCTGCTTTGCCCGTGAAGAGGAAATACAGTGAGAGCTGGATGAGGCAGTGAATAACAACAACCCCGCCTACATTTAACAGATGTAGGGTTTAGGTACATGTCTGAATGGGTTATGTGATGACTGTAAAAGTACTGAAAGTGTTTGGTGGAAACGTGGCTTAAGAAAATTTCCAGATCAAAGTTGGATTTCCATCAGGCAGCCTGACTTAGTATGATCATTTAATAACACGAACAAGACACATTTTACTGATTAAAGGCTGACAGTAATGTGTTGAGTTCTCTCCTTGACCGTGGTTCTTGTGTCTGAACCGTGCACTGTACCTTGGCCCTTGTGATTGACCTCTTTGGCGGTGATAACTTTGTTGATGACTGTCTGGAGGAAGTCGTTCTCCCCTGCCACCCTGGGTGAAAAACGGGAGATGTTCAGCTGCTTGTGGCGAATGGCGTCATCCAACGCTAGCCTGCAGTATGCACACGACAGGCAAACACCACAGAGAAGAAGAGAAGGCAGAGAAAGAGGAGGAGGAGCGGGGCAGAGAGGCCACAAAGTGATGGTTGTGAGGAGGGGAGTGGGATGAAAGAGAGACAGGAGAGACAGACAGAGACACACCGAAGAGTGATGCGAGTACCGTGACAGACACAAAGCCGCTTGTTAGCAGTTAACAGTGAGGCAGGATGGGTGATGAAAGAAACACACAGAGAAATCATCGTTTAGGAAATGATGCCCAGTCAGCATTTAGAGCGCCTCTGGAGCGGTGGGAGGCTTGACCTGCCCACGACCTTTAAATGTTTTCAAAGTGGGCAACTGAACACCCAAGGCTGTACCCAATCTGAGGATAACATTCCCACTCTGCTTCAGTGAGGAAGCAAGCTAAAATATAACATCATGTTTTGCTCTCCGTGGGGCTTCAGGTGTAGACAGTACCACACTGATTGAGACGAGTGATGTACAGAGCATAAGAAAGTAGCAGATGTGATCTGGGAAGCACCACATGTGTGGCAGCTGTGAGAGAAATGTGTGCAGTGGGTGGGGGATGCCATCTGCAGTAATAGAGGACTCTAAACAAGCAGAAGAAGTAGAGCATGGAGAAGAAGACAGTGGTGATGTCAGCATGGAGGAAGTGGTAAAGGATCTCTGTCATCAGTGCCTCCGGGCCTTGAATCCAAAACCAATCCAAGCAAGAAGATAGAATAAGACAACACTGTAACACTGAACGACAACAGCAACATGGCAGGTTCTCTCGCAAATTTGCAATGATAACATTTTTAAAAGTATTTGGATCAGATTTTTACAATAGAGCTGGACACAGTGGGATGTTGAGAAAGTATTCAGGACATGGTGGAAATCTGATTTTATGATCTTTATCAACAGTCTTGGTTATTCTTACTTGAAGGAACACTTCATCCCAAAATCAAAAACTACACCTTTTTCCTCTTGCCCGTTGTGCCATTTATCAGAGATTGTTTTGGTGTGTATTATCTTGAATACAGGATCATGATTTCTGCAAAGAGACATTGCTGTTGAGTTTTTCAAATGTATTTTTTGACGCTTTGAGCAGCTGCTCTCAAGCTGAGTGCCATCTAGTTCCATTATACATGAAAGACAGCCAATATCTCCAACACCAGCAACTCAGACCAAAATAATATCCACTGATAAATAGCATGGCAGGTAAGAAGAAAAATATGTTTTTTTGATTTGGGGTTGTACTGTCCTTTTAAGATTAAGGAATTAAAAATACCAGAGTCGACGGTGGCGTCTTCACAATGCTGGTTTTGTCCAACTAACAGCAATGATGTAAAACAGACATAAGCAGCAAGGAGCTGCAATTAAAGAATATTTGGCATTAAATGGCTTAAATGATTAGTAAATTGTTGTCAATTAATTTTTTTGTCGATCAACTGACTGATCACAACGTGAACTTTTGCTACAAATGCATTATCTAAATGCAAGTTGGTTTGATTCCTGACACCATGCCAGACATGAGCTCAACTCAGTCTCAGACTTAATGAGGGAGTGTCTGGGACAAACAAGAACTATTTCAGCAAGATTTCAATCTATCTGGTTTGTTTCTGAGAGCCATTTCCATGTCTGTTTGGATGCCAGGAGTCTGTCCCAATTACATCACTACGTCAAACCACCCCTAAATGCCTCCTTCACTTCCTATCTCTGCTGGCCTTAAAAACGCACGCAGTAATGTGTGGTGGAGCAGCTACCTCAAAACTTCATCAGTTAAAATTTCCCTGGCAAATATTCACAATTGGGACATAAATAACGCCTTGTAGAACCTGTTCTTCTCTTCACACGGGAAGGCTCTAATTTCCATGATTTATGCTCACAGATAAAACCGTTAAGTGAGGTGATCTGCCAGCTAAACTGCCTGAATCTGAAGCCTTTCCAATTATGCAGGAAATCACGTTAAGGAAAAGGTTACTCTGGCTCTGTACGCAGTCCTACGAGAATGGCAGCAGTTAATGAGATTGCCTTAATTGAGTCAGCAGGGAATAGAGGAGCGCTACTGTCTTAAAACCCCCGCTAATCAGGTGTCAAGAATTCAAGACTTTTAAAAAATGAAATTAAATACAATCGCTGCGTTCTGACATACTGTACATACGCAAAATAATGGAAATAAGTGTAAGAGCAGAACTATATCAGCTTTGCCATTTTATGCAACATTATCCCAAGTTTAAAGGAACTCTATGCCCCCTCATGTGTGAATGTGATTTATTTTGTGCTGCTGAACAATCCACTTACGGCTGAAATGGGATAAAGTGCTGCTTGTCCTCATCGTCCATTTTGCCCGTTATGATGTCGGTGACATCCATTACTGTGGAAAAAACAAGGAGAGAGGGTTAAAACATTCTCAAGGCCTGCAGAACATAGCACGGCTGTGAAAGAGCTACAGGTAACCGTGCGGCAAGGTCACATCGGGGGGTGAATGCAGCCAATGATAGCTCTTCGTCAGTGAGCATTAACTAAGGCAGATGCATGGCTACAATGGAATAAGCATGGTTTGTGCCTATCTTAGGTGAAATCAAGTCAATCCTGATTTCTGTGACCTGAATAGAGGTCACACAGTCAGACAAATCTCTGATCTGACAGACACCCAGAATTTCCGGTGGTTTAATTTCTCAGCTTGCTCCAGAGATGCACACATATACTCCAGGACCCTGTCATGTCATCACTGGGTGTGGTTACACCTTTGAACACACCCAACCGCCAGGCGTGAAACTCTGAACCAGGGAGGGCAGCAAATCACTTCTTTCCAGTCTGGTGTCATATAAGGCTGAACCCAAATGCCCACCCTTCACTTTGCCAAGTGAGCACTCGCAGACTTTTATTTTATGTACTGTGACGTGTTCACTGTCATCACGTAAAGTCTGTGAGGGTGCAAGACTGCAAGCTGTTAATAGACAGGCCTCAAGCACAACTAAAATAATGCAAACAGTGATTGCTGTCGCCATATTCCTCACACAAGTTAATGAATATTGTCAGCTCATCTGTCCCTACAATTGTCACTAACGGATTATATTATTTATTCAATTAACATAAATGTATTATGCAGTATTACTTATTAAAATTGAAAGATGTTCCTTTGTTGTTTGTCAGCCTTTTTCCTTAACCTACATATTACACTGTGCAGCTTTTATAGGGTAGGCTGCAATAATTAAAATGCCTTTCAATTACCCATGTAGCCTACAGTTGTAAATATTTCTGTATCATGATGTGGTTGAACATTCAATTAGTGCTTTAATAGATTAAGTGTACACAATGTCACATCTGTATCACAAATAACTATGGGTAATGAATCTTTAAAGTCTGGGAAAGCCTTCACTCCAAGTGGACTCTGTGGAAGTCTGCAGAAAGTTCGCTTGAGGCCCCTTGAGGACTTGTGGAGTTGGACAGACCTCAGCACTCGTAGACTTTCCTAGAACGCATCCGCAAAGCTGGCGATTCTGCAAGTGCAGTAAAGCCTCACTCTCTAAATTGCTTTACATTTTCTAGCAACAGTCACAGCAGAGTACAGAACTGGGCCTGATAGTGTAATACCAAACAAAATGGGCTGACATAACACTGCTAGAATAATGAACCCAGTGTTTCCAAACACACAAAGCATTAACACTTCTGCTATTTGCAGAGTGTGCACATTCGCTGGTCAAATTTGACCACAGCTGAACTGTGACCAGCAGAGCCGGACACCAAAACAGGAAACACATTCTCACACCTATCTCAAATTGAAGTGAATGAGAGAAGGAGCACATTTTCACCCTTACTCTATCACCCTAAAGGCCAGAGGACAACCATATAAAGCCCGTTAAATCTGTGTCTCAAAAGAAGCTAATCTCAAACATCACGCTGTGTACCAGACCAATGATGATGATATCTAAAGATAAGCTGTCATAAATTAGGGTGTCATTTACCTTCCCTTCAAGCAGCAGTGGGAAAGAGACACTGAAAGAGGGGTATAATTTTCTCTGTTGGAGAACTGTGGGCAAAACATCTACATAAAAAAAAAAAAAAACATCTAGTTTACGATATGCCTGGCACCTTGCCAGCAGGAGATAAATCAAACTTGTCTCCGATCTGATCTCACTCACATGGGGATATTTGAGCAGAGCCTCGGCTACAACGCTCTGAGATAATCAGTGTTTTTAAAAGGTGACCTCCGACTACAGTAACAGCACTCATGCCTCGCGGCTTTTTTTAGAACAACAGGGTTATCACTGAGTCTCTGTGTAGTCTGCTTTACCTGCCACTCCAAAGGGTCGTCTCAGTCCTGACGTCAGCTTCTTGGTGTTGTTGTCTCGTAGCTCCATGCGCCCCACTCTGACAATCTGACACACAAAGCTGATCTTCTCTCTCTTCAGATCTTCACTGCCTAAGTCCTGAGGAGGGAAGAAAAGTTATGAAAAAACTGCTGATGCTGTTGCCTTAGAGTTGATAACAATGACTTATACTTTAGGTAGACAAATCCAAAACTATTACAATCAGATTGTACATTTACCCCTGGAAAATTAAGTTAGATTTAAAGCACTTTTGTCAGGCAACAGTATGCTAGGGTGCACCACGACGACTGATGGATTAATTCCGCCCTCTTAGGTGAAGATGAGTTTGTGTTAGGGTAAACTTTTCACCACAAATTGCCTCAGCTACATCTGTGATTGTGTCCACAGATTCATTTCCTGTGGGCAAAACCTTCCAAAACTAGCAAAGTGCTCCCAGTGGGTGCACACTGACCTCTCCGCCCTTGGGCTTCCATTAGATAGAGGTGACTGCCTTGGTAAATACATACAGCGAGGCAAGCTCTTTCTGAGAGAGCTTAACAAATACAGGCTCTGCAAACAGGCTCCCACATGCCTCATAACATGGCTGAATAAACAGTGGACTACCACGGGCGAGCGTGCGCACACACACAAACACGGGGACACGCATACAAGCAAACACACTCACTGTGAAGACGGCCCGCAGATTATGAAGCTGGTCTATGTCTTTCACCAGACCTGAACTTGACCATTTCACCAGGTAGTTTTCACTGTGAGGGAGAGAAGACAGAAAAAAAGCATGACGTTATGAGCGTTATTAGAAGTGTAACAATCCACGGATCGGATTTTTCGATTCAGTGATCAACAATGCAATATCATCGATGCAAAGTGAAAACATTGATCCATATCATCATCTTTAAGATACACCTTTATTTTGAAATTCCCCTGGTGTGTCTGAGTCACCGTCAAAAGGCACCCGGCAGATAGTGGCAAGCAGCAAAGAAAAAGGTGAAGAGGATATTAACTCCTCAGAAGTACATCGGCAGAGTGGAAATATTTTGGATTCCAGAGAAAATACAGGTCAACAGACAAAGCACATCACATGCTGTGAGCAAATAGTGATGTCACATGATAAAACACTGAGGAAACACAACAAACTTGGTCAGGCATCTCACTCTGCTAACTTGTTGCTCTCACTACAGCAACATTAGCTGCTGCTTAACTGACAAAAACGTGTATGCTGGTTGAAATTTAACCATGCTGTTCTTGTCAGGAGATGCAATGACCTAAACTGACAATGAGTAGTAATAATACATGAACTTTGTTAAGCTATGAGTAGAGGAAAAGTCTGTTAGCGGTTAGGCTAAAATATGCATTGTAAAATAGCTTAAGCTAATAATGGCGACTAGGACAAAATCTCATATTGATCACAGGCCCCTGAATTGAACTGACTCGAAATCCTATCATGGCAGTCTTTGTGATATTGGCAAATACTGTGTGATTGTCCAAAGAAGCAATACAATATCATATTGTGATTAAAGTAGTGATTTACACCCCTAGTCAATATCACCCGTCTCAGCACTTTCTCAGAATTACATAGAAACATCTATGACAGCGAATTAAGGCAATCAGTTGGGTTGCATTAACTAGAATTTCCTTCAAAGCTGAGGAAGCCTGAATGTTAATCCAGACACCGATCCGCTTGGGAAACAAAATACATGACTGCAATGGATGCAAGAGAAAACATTCCACAGTTGAGCTGCTCTACTTGTGATAATTTGCTGTCACAATCCTAAAACAATAGCAAATCCCTGGGAAGCAGGTTGCACTTGTTCTGGTCACGTTCCTGCATGGTGTGTGTGTGTGTGTGTGTGTGTGTGTGTGTGTGTGTGTGTGTGTGTTGTCAGTGTGTGAGAGTGCTTCCAAATGTCTGTCAGTGTTCTGGAAAATATGTCTCAGTCTCGAACATCAAAAGCCATCTAGACATATTATCTGGTCCATAAAGGGCATTAGTTTCAGCGCTATACATATGAAGGGCACATCTAAACTCATCACCACTTGATTTAGAAACACCGACCGTATTTGACCGTGAGTTGTCACGATTGCTATGAAAAGAATCTTCGCTGTCTGAGCTACAGTCAAATACAGAGCACGGGTGTACAGTTCAGACTGCGGCTCCAGGCACGAGAACATCATCTTTACAGTTTCCCACTAGCAACAGACAGAAACTTGGAATTCAATTACCAGTGCAACAATAGAGGTAAAATGTAAAACTGAAATGCTGCAAGGAGCCAAAAAAATCCCAGTGCTTAATCAGAGCTGGGTTTGAGAATGTGAGTGAGCGAGTAAAGCAAAGAAAGAGAGTGAGAGATAAGTGAATATGCACCCATGGGTTTACCTGATGAACTTGGACTCCACTGGGTCGTAGAGTGACATGAGCACCTCTGCGTCCTCGCCGATCTTACACACCACATTTTTTAGAGTCACAAAGAGGGCAAACGCTGGTGTGGAGGCAAACTTTGCTTGCCTGGTCAGATCAATATTCTGCTTCTGAGACTGTCGGAGGAAAACAGAGATATTGCATTCAATACTGGGCATTCTTCCACAGTTTGCTGTCACAAGCAAGTAGACCTCAGGCCTGTGAAGTTTAAACAATAAGCCCAGGAAGGGATCCAAGGATTTCTAGGACAACACTAGAGTGTGAAGAAAGAGATACTGTGATGTACTTAAAAACTGTACACCAGATTATTGAATGTCAGCCACTGCCTCGGTCTTTCTGAATATTTTACAAATTAAGAAGCAAGATTTAACAACATCTATAAATCCATAAGAATTCAGCATAATATATTCTGTCCCCACTGGAATAAAAAGCCTTAACATTCCCTTGATCTCCAGAACGGCATCTGCAGTAAAAGGTGGACGGATTGCATGATTCCTTGGACGCCCTTCAAAAATATGCTGGGGCCACATCATTAATATTTATCACGTCGACCTGGACACTTTCTTATTGCCCATGCATATGCAATAAAGACCTCTGGATGAGAAGGTCACGTAAGATGAGACCACATAACTGCAGGGCACTTAGCGTCTGACACTCCTACATACTGCCAGCTGACATTCAGGTGAGGGATGCCACTGAGTAAAATAGACAGGGAATCTGGCTGCGTTCCTGACTTTCTGAGGAAGCAGTCGAGTGTACTAGCAGTGGCCCCATTTTCCACACCGCTGTGTTGAAATTGTGCAAATGCCACAACTCCATTTTAGGGTGAACTGCAGGGGTTCTGTGATTTATGTGCGTTTTCTTACATTGTAATGCACTTTGTCCATTTGTTTGATAACTGAAATAGCCTGTGCTGCTGTTACTTGACAGGAGCCAGTCAAGACGTTATTTGTCTAAAGCAAAATAGCACAACACTCTCTCCATAGTTTACAGAATCATATAAATGGCTAAAGCAAACCCTCTTCATTCACAGCTTTAGAGGCAGTGGGATGAACTAGTCTTGCGTGTCCAGATCTATCTCCACAGTGCTGTGTCAGTGCTGGAGAAAAGTCTGGAGGTACACATTATCATTCTGCTATAGGGGAAAAATGCTCTAGGTTATTATTATTTCTTTGAACCAATCACAGTCGTCTTGGGTGGCACTAAGACCAGGATACAGTGATCCTCGTCTTGCAAAATAGTGTCTAGGGGGGGAACTTGTTTTGGTGGAACATTTGAACATTTGTCGACTTTGTGATACAACTTTTACTGACAAAAAAGACAAACATAATATGATAATCGGTGCCTTAGCCCTGATTATACTTAGATGTGTTACAGCACAGACCATTTGCTAGCTGTATGTGGCTGTTGCAGAACATTATAAAGGCGATATCATACAGGCTCAGGGTAAGTGGAACAGATTGGCACATTTGTGAAGTAATTTTCACTGGCACATGCCGCTGCCGGGGTAAAAAGATGTGGCAAATTAATTCTGACTGGCTGTATCAAAAAACGGATCGACATCAGGCATGAGAGTTCTCTGAGACGGAATCTAGACTCTTCTGAAGTGCGTTTGCGTGTCGCTTTATTCGTTGTAGATTTTTACAACCATTCACCGGAAGAACAAAGTAGGCATGCTTTATTCTTTGTCTTAACTTGCCATTTTCAGTGTGTGGGTTGTTAGCTTGAAGGGTTGTTGTTGTTTCCTGTAGCAAAATGGATCTGATAACACGCAGAAAGAGGAGGGTGGGGAGAATGCCAGCCTAAATAGCCACAGTCTACACCCTGTGAGTCAGACTACACGTAAATGAAAATACAAAGCACAGCAAATTTGTAGGTTTTGCAGGTTGGACAAATTGAAATTTTGACCTGTTGCTGGTTCCACGCAAAAATTTAAGGGATTGCCAAAATAAGTATAATTTATCGTCTTTGAGACTTAAAAAATCTGCTCCAAATCTCACAAAAGTGTATCCAACAGTTGAGATATTTCAGTGTTGACCAACCAACCCACATTACCATCCCTAGAGCCACTGCTAGCAATAGCTATAAAGTTTTTTATTATTGTGCCTAAGGATGGAGCAGACACTACTGTGGAAGAGGGCAGTCTCAAATGAAGACAAATGAGGGGTCATCTCAAACAATTATCTGGTATGAAGAGCAGTGTTAACCCTTCTACCCTGCCCTGGTTTTGTTTTCCTAATGCAGACACTGTAACTGCACCTGTTTGACTCTTGACTGAGACTTAATGAGCCAGGGAGAACAAGATCGAAGTGTAACTACATTCAGATCAAACTGTGCACCATGTTCATTCACACCGTAACTAATATGCTTTTACTTATAGTTGATTTTATAACTGGAAAATGACGTCCAAAAGGCATGACCGGGTCCTCTCTATCTTTACCTTCTCCTCTTGAATCCGATCCTCTATCTGTTTGGACGCTGCCTCGTGTGCTCTGAACAGGCTGACGGTGCTGGTGAGCTCTGGATCCAGGATGTTTCCATCTTTGTCTCTGACCACCAGATCGAGATCCAAGTACCTTGTATAAGAATAGAGAGTTAAGGAGTGCCAGAGCCCGCCAAGATGAACATACAATAGTATACAGTAAGAGATGTGTGGTGACATTTGTGAAAGAGAAAACAGTACACATGAAGTGTACGCTGTCATTCCCTTTGCCTCATTTTCACCTTGTATAACATTCCCTTCACTGTTTCTTTCAAAGCTCCCCCTCTTTGTCAACTCTTAATTCTATGGAGGAATTCAGCACAGACAACAGCATGCTGCCGAACATGCAGTCAATGTATTTCATCAACTCATCACTCCCTGCTTCTGCAGAGGCAAAAGCCATTTCTCTATCTGGCCAAAGGTTTAAAGTTTCATCACAGGAGGAGAATGAAGCTTCACAATTTTCATTTTCAACCGATTTTCTAGGTCCACTGCAGACACAGCAGGAGCTGTCATTTCATGATGGAATACAGTACGGTTTGCTGAAGCTAAATCCCCCCAGTTTGTCCTCAAGCTAAGTGATGACCTGTCATTTTCTATTGACTGACACTGCTGACCTATTCCAACAAGACTCATTTTTCCGGATAGATATGAGGATAAAGGGATATGAGCTGTGGGGAGGGGAGGACGAGGCTGAAAGCCTCTAAAGACTAGATCCTCACTTGTTGCCGTAGTCTATCTTGGAGGTGACTTTTTGTTTGAGCTCGGTGAGCTCGTCCTGTGGAAGGGTGCCGGACAGGATCTGGGAACGCCATTCGATGAGGTCGTAGATCATATCACGGACAGAGTTGAACATCTCGCGTTTGTCCCCCTGGCAGTAGAAACAGACGGGTGAACATGTGTACAGCTTAGATACAAAAGGACATTTAGAGCGTCCAAGTGCTCTTGTGTCTGAACTGTTGACTGGTAAAAGAGGTCTTGTTCACACTGGCAGGTCAGACATCTCATTAGCAAAAGGTACATGACAGTGTAGGTAAACAAAGCTTTTAATTATTGAGAGCCAGTGGAATTACATTAGGTCACATTCAACAACATATTTTGTGAGAAGAAAAGCCCACCCACAAAGACCCGGGCCAATACTAAATTTTTTAGGAAAAACTATAAATAAAATATGTCATATTAGCGTTTTTTATCTGTCAAAATATGCATAAATGAACACTTTATAAACTTAAAAATGAAACATAACAAAACCTTACGATTAATTCTATCATTTTCAATAGAAACGGTCAATAAAAAAACAAATACAATGAAATATATTTAACTGAAATTAAGAAAAACAAAGGTCAAATACACATAAAATTTTGGTCAACAAGATATTAACATACATTTTTTTCAGTGTATGGCAACACGTAAGCTAATACTGACATCTGTAATGGGCTAATATACTGTAGAAAAGTGATGCACAGATACACGCCGACAATTTTCTATTTCACAATGAAATAAATTGATTTACCAGATTTCAGGTCCAGATTTCTCCTCAGTCGTCAGTTTAAGGTCCACACAATTTCATAAATTCAGTGTCACAGTTGTGTTTGGCCATGATGTTGAGCTTGTTTGCTGTCAAGTAGCTGTCCATTAATCACTGCGTTTACGGCAGGAAACAGCACTTCAAAATGAAAGCTCTGTGCCTGAAATTCACTGTACTTCAAAATAAGGAGTGCTCTTTACAAACTTGACATGACTGTGAGTCACTTGCAGCCCATTCAGAATAGACCTGCAACCAGTCTCTGAACCACGACCCACCAGCTGGCAACCACTGCACTATAGTATATTTCTGAAAACCTTTGAGGTGAGAAATATTTATTTTTTATTTGATCAGTGCTGCCTAGTTTGACAGTTTGACCACAGTTAACAGGCAGTGATTGATATGATTGACAGCTGCCCTCACTGAAAATGCCCTGTGATTGGCCAAAGTCTCCCGTCATGGGCTAAAAGTCTTAAAAGCAGAGCCAAGCAGAGATGCAGAAGTCTAGTGTACACACAGTCCACTTGAATTACAATATGCTCAAAGTTTATTATGGGATTTTTGTCCAACGACGCCAAAATTAAACTGCCTGCCCACGCTTTAACTGGCCCCTCGCCTCCAGTCATTTGGCAAAAGTGGCCCCCAGGCAACGCAAGGTGAGTATCTCTGCTGTATAAGCTCAATCATCTCATAAGCCTGTCTTTGCCCTCTGTCTTCCATACATTTCATTATCTCCCCCAAAAGCATATCTGACATGAATGTGTATGTATGTGTGTGTGTGCATTTCCACTGGGGGTCGGACAGGCTTGCTTACCACATACAAGTCCCTCCATATTGTAGCCCATTCCCGCAGCGTGGTGGTAACCTCCTGAACCAGGGGCAGCTCAGTGGGAATGACTGTCTCCTTTTGCCTGCAGTGACAGTGAACGAATTTCATACAGTGATTCAGTGTCCTCTCTGCCCTTTCCGCCCCACATGGAGACACAGTCAGTACTAAACATGTTGCCTGTTATCTAAGTATACTGGGGTTTTTTTATCCTTCAGTTATAATTCAATGGAAAACCAAATATCTGTTCCTCAAGGTTCTCAGTTGAATTCCATGACTTTGAAGTTTGGGGTTTATCTTTGTTTTGAGCATGCTGTGCAAGTGAAATCAAAGAAGACAGATCAAAACAAAACAGTGCCACAAGTTGTACAACAACAAACCCACATGTCACATCATATCAAGAGCAGACCTCTTTGCTGACACTATCGCAGAGGCTGTCTACATACAAGTTGAATTTTATCTCGCCAACAAGCTTCTCAGTGGGTCAGAAAATAAGACGGGAGAACAAACTTTTCATCTTTTCATCTATTTGCTTCCTATTTGATCTTCGTTGCTGTCTTCAGCTCAGTGCATGATTACATTATAATAATATAATTCATCTTAGTCCTAGTAATAATTCAATAATGTTACACACAAAGCAGTGAAAGTAGAAGCAGTCTTCTTGCTTGTAAAAAAGGAATTATAAATTCATTACATTCAAAAGTGGAAGTGGAGAGATACTAACCCAATGCCCTCGACTGTGGCCTCTTTCAGGTGTATATAGCAAGCAGGAAATATGCCCTAGAAGAGGAAGAGATCATAATGCAAACATTATCATGAGACTGGGACAGAAGTTAAAACAGCTGCACAAAACCAAAGCTGTAAAAAGAAACCTTTCAGTAAAGGATATGAGTGTGTGAAATTTTTGTTTGCTGGCTACTCACCTTCTTGGATTTTCTCCTCAGCCTATGCCCTCTGTACCAGTCTGTTGGAGAGCAGAATTATGTTACACGTAAGCTGCTTTTCACCAACATAGTAAACAAGAAGAATAAGAACTTTGCACTTAAATTAATATTTTAAGGGGAGACACTTCAGGTGAAAACATAGGTGGTCAATTTTGAGATTTGGGGCTATATGCTTTCATAACATGCCTTTGCTTAGATTAGTGGAAAAAAACACACCCAAAAAACACAATGAAGTGTTCATTTTAGTTCAAATATCTGCTCTGGAAATGTACACACAAAGTACATATTTAAAAGTTGAGAAACTTGAATTACAAAAAGTAAGTTTATGTTTACATTACAGGGCTTAAAGCTCAATTCCTACTTTCCCCCCCAAGATCAGATCTTTCTGCCTAAACTGTTGACATTCATGTTTGAAGTGACCCCTATTTGACATCAGCGTAAACGGATCTCTGCCCTGAAACGCCTCACATGCAACCAATGACATCACACGTCACATATGTGAAACAGGTATCTGGGGAAAAAATGAGTGGCACAATGGTACAAAAGTTCATCTTCTGAATGATTTGCTTCAGAGGTCGGAAGACAATTCATAACATGTTGAGGAGGGGACTGATCCCTGTTCCTACAGGCCAGGCACTCTCACAAACAGAAGCACGTGGCTAGGAACACAAAAGTCACAGCTATAGCTCTATTAGCAGATTCCGCCCAGTAGCTCAGTGGTTAGAGTGGGCGACTGTGGGTTTGATTCCTGCCTGCATCCCCCTTCTCTCCCCATTTCACAATTAGGTCTGTCCTGTCTAATAAAGCCAAAAAAATATTTTAAAAAAGAATTTCCATATCTCTGTCGGCACCTGATGGCAACACTGTCACAGCATGCAGGCAGGCCGTCCTCGTCAAAAAACGTCTGACAGTCTAGTGGCTGTTGACTGGGGCTGTCTTAAGTGGTACGACTACAACAGCCTTCTGTAGTTTCAACAAACTGGTCTGACACTGTATGGTGAGTGATCTGTGGCTGCACAGTGCAGTATGATGTGGAAAAACCACAAATGTATGGTAAAAAGACACATGAATTCCGATATGACTGTTCTTATAGCGGTTGCATGGCCACTGATTGGATATGTATCAGATTTAGGGCCTTATATGAAAGTCAAAATCAGATCGGATCACATCTGTGGCACATCAAAGCTAAAAAAACAAAATCGAATTCCGGCAAAATTGGCTTGAAAAGTGAACGCAGCCCAATTGTCTTAATGTAATTAATCAACTGGGGAAGTTTCATGGTGATATCTATTAGCTAAAAGTTTGACCCCATTCACCTGCAGTGTCACTCCTTACTAAGGTAAACTATTTTATTAATCAATTCACAATAAAGAATGACATTAAAGTTAGAAAATAACACTGAATACAACATGCTGTTCATTTACAGGAACACACCATCATTATCAATATTGCTATATTTATATTTTACCTTACTGAACACATGTAGAAACATTTGACAAAACAAAAGAGGTACTAGTAATGACAGGAAAATAATGCCCGACATTGGCGTGTCATCTCTGATCATGCATGTCATCACTAAGCCTGTTCTCACCTTCATGTGTCTCAAGTATGTGCACTGTGTCTCCAATCTGCAGCGACAGCTCCTCCTCTCCCCGGGCATCATAGTTATAGATTGCTGGAGAAAGATGAGAGAGGACAATATAAGGAGGAGGAGATATTACAGGAGGAGGAAAAAGGCAATAAAGCGTTTGGCTCCCTTGTGGCGCTAATTGTGTGCCATTGCAATGTGTAATAGAGGCATCACACATCCACAGGATGTCCACCCACGCAGTCTGACACAGTGATGGTTGGGCCTTTCACCATCGATGCTGTAATATCAACACACTTCTACCGCCCACTGCAAAGAAACCAATAATGACGGAGAACGCCAAAACAACAATAATGCCGGTGGAAAAACAGATTTGCACAGAATTACAGGATGGAGGCAAAGAGATAATAAAATACTGCAGAGTTCCTGATTTTGTTAGGAGTTCTGAGACAAAACAAACAGGTGACATGAAGATGATTGTCTGGCTCTCTAGTCAACACTACAAAAACATATTTCTGTCTGTATTGTTTGTTTGCTGAATGAACAGAATCAATAGAGCACATTACAGGTGGCTCCCAAAATTGGTTGGCAAATCACCAGCACATTCTGGGGAGTTAAATGAAGTTGCCAAGAGGGAAAGTGTGTTGGCACCTACGGAATCCATTTGAGTGGAATTAATACGTCTCTCTTTGAGGCAAGTTAAAGAGCAGAGCCCCATCTGAGAGGATATAGTCCTTAATACAAGTGGGAAAATGTGGATACCTGTGGACAAATCTGACATGTCATGCTTTTTTTTGAGACAAACATGCTTAAAAAAACTTTGCAGTGGTATAAAAACCTTCACACAACATTCCTAGATATCCTCAAAAAAACTCATTGCTTAGGCTTCACTTTAATCAACATTCATTGAAATGCAGAGGACTATCTTTGGAACAATGCTTTACTACAATCAACATTATCATTATTCAAAAAACATCTGAAAAGGACTCTAATTTGTAAAGATTAATAACACTTTGTGGATTTCTCTGTAATGCACCTCATCTTCTTAATATGAACATTTTTGCAATTTGCACATTTCTATCATAATTTTGCATTGCTGCTTTGATGAATTATTCATCTTTTTTCTCTGTTTTTCTCTGAAGTATGACTAGTGTTATTTGATAGGTAGCTCCTGTAGATCGGGTATCAGAAAATGCAACCTATACCTGAGGCGATCCTTTCCCTTTAAATCTATTGCGACGCGAGCTATGTCTTACGTCATGGAGCGAAGGAGAGAATCTGCTGTGTGGAGGTATTTCACACTATTTCAACTGCTGTTGCACAATTGTTTATTTTTGTTATAAATAAATAGTTCATCATTGCATTAATCTGTTTCATCTTGTTTCATTTTATCAGAACTGTGTATTCATCAATGCCTGATGGCTCTAGTCTTTTCTGTTCTACATGTAAAGGTATATAGCATTTTAGGTCAACCATGGTATCGGATCGGTATCGGGTATCGGCCGATACTCCAAGCCACAGCATCAGGATCGGTATTGAAACTGAAAAAGCTGGATCGGTGCATCTCTATTACAGAGCAAGATAAATGAATTGAACAAACAACAAAAATCAGTCAGACTGTTAAAATGGAGGGGGTGGGTGTACAGTCAGTGTTAAACTGCATAGGCCAGTTTGAACAGGTAGGTTTTGAGATGGGACTTGAAGGATGTTATGCTGTCGGACTATCGACTGCATGGAGGTAGGGAGTTCCAGAGCCTGGGGACAGTGCAGCTAAAAGCCCTGGTACCCATGGATTTCTAGGTTAGTGTAAAGGGTTAGGGTTGAAGTCTAAGGAAAGAGCTGCTAGTTTGAAATGTTATACAGCATTAAAATCCTCTTAACAGGAGCTACTTGCTGTTTGGATCTATTGGTTTCTTTTCTGTAAGGTATCTTCATAAGCCATTTTTGGCTTCTAAACACTCCCATACAATGTTAAAACTCCTTTTAAATTCTTGCTGTCTTTTTTAATATACATGTACATGTGCAAATAAGGTAAAAACTTTCCACCAAATGTAATCAAAATCTGTTAACATGTATTTGCAATGTCCTGCTAACAAGCAGTGATGGCACAGTGGTGCAGTGGTTTGCAGCAAGATGGGGTGGGGGGGGTTGAACACCAGGGTGGGAGGGCCCCTCTGGAGTTCGCATGTTCTCGCCATGTCAGCGTGGGTTTTCCCCAGGTACCTCCCACAGTCCAAAGACATGCAAATTAGGTTAATTGGTGACTCTAAATTGCCCGTACGTGTGTATGTGAGCATTATTTGTTTCTATGTGTCAGCCCTGTGATAGCCTGGCGACCTGTCCCGCCTCTCGCCCACTGTCAATTGGGAAAGGCTCCAGCACCCCCGCGACCCCTAACAGGATAAGCGGTTACAGAAAATGAATGAATGAATGTTAACAAACAGAAAAAAAAAGCAAATGGGGCACAAAACAACAAAATCATTAGCAAAAGTAAAATTCTAACTAATAGTCAGTACCACATGAAACACGTTTCTTTTCCTCTCCATAAAGATCTCTGTGGACTCAATTTACTTGTAGATGTACCAATATAATGCAGGCTATTGTCTATCTACTGTCAGAGCTCCATCAACATGTCAAGGTCACGTTATAACAACAATAAAATCCTGACTGGTGGCACTTGTTCTTTCATTCAGTGAGAGGTGAACAACATGTCGCTGTCAAACCAGCCATGACCGACACCTGTCTTTCCAACAAGGGCCCCCCCCCACACACACACATACACAAGTGTGCACTCATCCTACACACAACCTATACACTGACAGCATGACAGGTGACTGTACTGACGGAGGTGTTCATTTTGAGAGGACACCTGCGGGGAGAAATGGCAAAAGTGTGTGTGTGTGTGTGTGTGTGTGTGTGTGTGTGTATGCATGTCCTGCTGAGGGAATGCATGCAGGGCCGCTTCCACAGAGGTTTCAAGAGGTGAATGACGACTTAATTAAAAAAGACCCTCCCTGCAGGCACTGAAGCCTTCCCAGCTTGCTAATGGTACAAGTGAATCGACCGTTTTCTCCCACAATCACAGGGGCTTATTATATTTCATTACCATATCAGGTGGCACGCAGTACTTTTTTTTGTTAACATTGAGCTCTTAAGTTGTTATGGTGGACAATTATCTAGAACAAAGGGTTTCTGTTTTGTCGCTTCTGCTACTGGGGTGAAATCGTTTAATGTGCCCTACACCCACACGGGAGTCTTTTCCTGTAACAGATCATCGGAAAGTATGTGAAGTCAACAGATCTACTTCGTGTTTTTAAAACGCTGGTCAAAAAAAAAGGAAGTATACCAACATTTTTTGGCATATCCTCAGTATCTGCTACTATTATTGATTCTTCAAATATCAAATAATCACTTAATTAACACATTAAGTCATGTTCCCAAATAATAATAAAAAAATCTTTGAAAGGGGAAGCAGATCTACTCTTTCTCCCTCGCTAAGAAATTCTGGATCTGGCCTTGAACCCTGCCCACCACCACTGCTTACAGTAGAGTTTTACTTTTGCTCTCTGCTTTTTTCCAGTGCTGGTACACCGCTAAAACTAAGTGGGGAGAGCCCATGTTGTGTCAAAGTCTGTTCCTATGTCAGTATGTGTTTCCTGTATCAGACAGCGATTGGCTTTCATATTAGTGACATACATACCTAATCTGGTTTGCCTGTCTGAATATTAGTTTTTCCAGAAGTGCACAGACATGGTCCCCTTCAGTAGAGGAATGTGAAAACACCTCTCCAGTGACAAATTTTGCACAGATACAAGTCAGTATAGTCAGGGTCAGAGATTTAGATGGGACATAAATAGAAGAAAAACATATTTCTGAGTGGAGGGGGACTTTAAACAAAGCAGTGACTTGTTTTAAATCACAGTAACAAAGGCTGCTCTGAAAACAGAGAGAACTAATTAGCACACTATGTGACAAATATAGAAGGCGTCAGTCAACCTTGTAAGACTGTATAATCGAGTACTCAAGACAACATAAGACAACTTTTAGAAGGTACAAAGAGGCCGAATAAATACTAGCTGAATGACTGGTCTATAACTTGCAAACACTGTAAAATGTTTGTTATTTGGCAAGAGGAAATGTCTCAAAAATAATTACAACATAATACAAACACAAAGAGGAAGACTGGTCAGTGGTCAAGCAGACCATCACCGCCACTGACCAAGATGTTTCATGAGATGTCTGTTGAAAACCATCTTGAAATTCAGCCTCAAAAATGACTGTGCAACTACGCAATACCTCCGTCTGTATCTGATGTTCAGCATGTATAGCATAACTCAGGCAGCCAACCACTTCAACATTGAATGGAGGGTATGAAATGCCATGTGTAGCCTGTTCCATTCAGCCCTGTGTTGTTTTGTTATCAAAGTGTATGTGCATATACACGTGCGTGTCCACAATGCATTTTGCGATCCCCAGAACAATCCAACGAGCCCAGCGAATCCACCAGAACACGAGCTACGGGCTGACAATGGAACAAAGACCCCAGGAAATGAATTCAGTGGTACCACACTGGGATACAAAAAGGTACCTACAGGGGGAGAAAGCAACAAAACAATCAAAAGGGAGGTGGGATTAATCTATGAGCAGCCATCAGAGAGCAGCCTAGTCACTGTGCAGCGGGGTGCGCTCAATTAAACTATCATTAAGAGTGGCCAGAAAAGCCTGTAAAGCCATCAACTGCTGCATCTGTGGGTTTGTTTGGAACTGGGTCACAGGTCCAGCTGATGCAGCATGTTATCTAAATGGCAGGTGCTGGGAGGAAGCAGCCCAAACAAACAGCTTTCTGATAGAGACATAAAACATCATATTTCATCAGAAAATGAAAGACTGCCCCTGTGATCACCGTAAATGAGATTAGGTCTTCTATCAAACAAATGGGAGTTCAGAGAACTGGGGAGATTCTCACTGGACAGGAGGTGCAATCACAAAATGAGCGCAAATGACACCCTGGGAAGATGCTGAGTAAATGACAACCATCAAACATAACCCTGACATGTGAGGCAATGATGGTGCAATTTAACACAGGA